CCACCGAGCACCTTGGAGACAAGAGGAGAGGCAATTCCGTATTTTATGATGAATTAAACATTCCTGAGATATAACTTGTTATTCTAAATGAACTTGGGTGTTTTCTTACAAATTCAGAAGTCGTGAATGTACCTTTGATACTGATCTATTATGAGGACTTTCCAAGTCTGATGACACTGATCTATATTTAATGCATCTGTTCCGCTTAGCTTTTATTTGTGTTTTTTTGGGGGCTTTTGTGTCAAACCCTATGCAGTGTTTGTCGGTTGCCTGGCGACCGCCTGGTGACGATTATGTGTTTAATTGATGATTGTCTTTTCCGTCGTCATTTTTGGACTTCCCTCGCTCCCTGGTCCCACGTCTATTCAGACAGACATTTATCTACAATTAGTTAATCATTTCCAGGAAGGCAACATTTGCCTGCAGCTCCAAAGTCATCTGTGAAATAGCACATTTACCGCTGTTGAGAAGTGTTGATTGGGTTTCTCAGGGTGTACCTGTTAAAAAAGTACTGAAAATAATTTCTCTCAGAGGTTCTGGCTGCATAGCAGCATGAGAGCGAGAAAGAAAAAGTCAACTTTAATGATGTTTGCACTCCTGCACCTTGCAACTGAGCCGCCATACTCATCCTCATCGCTTATTTATTTCTTAAATCATTCTGCCAGTGGCAGCATATAGTGTAAAATGTCGTCAGTCCTGATTTACTTTGCTGCGGAAATATAAAGTGGAAAGGAACGATGGGGTTTGAAAAGGATGTTACCCAAAATTGTTACACAGAGAAAATAAATCTATTCCAGGAATCCATGCATCATGTTAGTGACTCTTTTCAGGACTTGTGTACTTTCAGAAAACAGAATGCTTGAAGTGTCACGCTGACATATATGACGTTCGACACGTGATTCATTTCAGATTTCGGCTTGTTGTTCCCTGTCGGCATTCAAACCGACGCCGCGCTTGTGTTTCCCTGACACTTCCCCCGCTGTGCTTCTATTACTGTATCTTGTGCTCGACTGGCCAGCTGAGGATGATCCGGCCAGTCACGCGGCTGACAGTTGGAGCAGTGTGTTGTTCTTGATGCCTCCCTGCCTGCAGGTTAGATCAATTGTTTGAACGTACTGAAGGCAACCCGTGGCTTCGTTCTTACTCGCACCAATGGTTCTTTGATGAGGACAACAGGAAAGCTCTTTACGCCGTGTGTGCCGACGAGTTTGAGAGACACAAATCAATGCGAATGTCAAAAATCAATCAACGTAAAAGTATACATGTACCCATAAAGGTATTAAATGATGCCATGGTTCTCCTTCACTCTGCCCTTCTCCTGCCTTAGTAAACCGCCGCATTGAAAACATGATATGGTGTCAAAGAGAGTCGTGCGTCCGCCAAATTATGCAAATTAGAACGAGAGTGCATCCATCAATTTGTCTTTTTTCATCTGTCAGGGGATTCACACCCTGCAAAGTCTTAATAGTAGTAGTAGCGTTGTGACAGGTTTGTTATTCCTCCTTTTTGCCGTCCCGCACTGCTCACAATGTACCAACGCACAGTAACTTAAACACAGCACGGTCATGAATAACTGTCAGAAACAGGCACATCAATTCAGTAGAATCGCCACTTGCTGAGTGGAGCTTTCGTTTTTTTATTTTTTTTATTATTGCATTTGTCCTCGCGAGTTGTAGTCCCTTGACATCACACAAGGAAGGGGGGAAAAGAGGGAGGAAGCTGCTCTCTGAAGAAGAGCACGTAAGCTTAGTTATTTCAGATTTTTCTTTCACACCATTTCCTTTGAATTGCCTTGTTGTTTTTTTGTCTTCGCACTTCGCAGCTGTGACGGTTTTAAATAGCAGCTGCGCGAATGTCGCCATATTAAATGCGAGAAATGTATGTTTGGAACTGAACTTGTGTTTTCTTAACTAATACGATTTAGCTGATGCAAACACAAATAAAAAAATGTGATATTTGTGACCAAAAAAAAACAAAAAAACATAAACACTAAATGTGACAACAATCCTTTGATGGTCGGAGACAAACCTCTAAAACAAATAGATATGACACCCAGAAACAGATATAACGGGTGTACAGCAGATATACAGTCATTTCAATGTTTAAAGACAAGGGAAGAACAAGGTGATTTTTTTATCCTCTTTTTTCCAGCTCTGTGCGAGTTCTGGTGGCATTTTGGAATTTATCAATCAGGGGTCGATGGAGTGCTCTGCCTCGGAGTGGTATTGATCGGCCGAGGAGTCGGGCCTAATGCCAGTTCTCATTAGTGGCTCCTGTCCCTTCACCTCTCTTTGTCTCTCATCTCTCCCTCTCGCTAGCGTCGCTGCCTGCTGATTCTAAGTGATGACAGTCCTAAGTGCTTTAATAGAAATGTATTGATCACAGGTGTTGTGAGCCATTCACACACACACACACACACACACACACACACACACACACACACACACACACACACACACACACGTACACACACACATGCTTGCACACACGCACGGAGCACAGGCAGCCTTTCTGTATGTTGCACTTCACGACTCTCACACTCAGTTGCCCCCTTTGATACTGTGTAAGGAGCATAATTTGTGCTGTGAACGGGGTGACAGGGTGACCCTGGTGGTCGGTCAGGCCGTTTTACAATCAGAGGCTTAATGTTGCCCCAACCGACGTCTACGTGTCCTTGAGCAAAACAGCGACCTCCTGACAGCTCGGAGCTGCAGCTGTGTTCATGCATGTGTGCTTGACTGAAAGGACGTAAACATAAGTAATATATACACCTCTGTTTGTGTCAAATGTGCCCAAAGGGTTTTCTAAATAATGAATACATGTTAAATTATTCATAAAATGTTCTTGGCACTAAAATGCCTCTACGATTACGTTTTTCTTTTTTTTGTGGCAACTGAATATTTCTTTTTTTTAAGAGCTACTTTAGTAGTCTACCAGTTCACATCAGAACACAGATGAAGAATGATACAAATTCTCAAATACAAAATATGCATTACAATGCAAAACAAATATGATACAGTTAAAGGAGGATTTATATAATGATATAAAGAAGGGGGAGGGTTAGTATGCTTATTCCTATTTTTAAAGCTCCCTTTACACATTTAGAAACAAATAAATTCCCTCTTGGAAAAATTTGCCATAATTAATAACATTTGACAAATGTGTGTCTGTGGGAGTATTGGAAACTTATGTAAAAAAACACCTATCCGGAAATATGTTTAATTTGTACGGATGTGTTTTACTGGATTATGCTAAACTAAGCTAACTATCTCATGGCCGTGGCTTGAAAAGAGTGAAATCAGAACTAATGTGTGTTTCCCCAAAACTCCTTAATGCTTTAAAATGTTCTTATATCTCTTTGATATTTTCCATTTCCAAATCAAGAGCGTGGTGCATTCGTTCTTTCCCAAGTTTGTTCCCCCTCACGTGGATCGTTACCAGCTGCGTCTGACCACCGCGCTGTGCCCTCTGACCTCACGGCCCCTCGGCTACACTCCGCCTGGCGTTACGGCGTCCGGGGCTCAGAGTCAGCGACCTCGGCCAGCGGCTCCGGTTTTAATCAGCGGCATCTTTCCAGGCGGGCGGCACCCGGACAGCCGCTTGCTGCACCTTAATGAGCTCCGCGGCTTTCCCTCCTCTTCTCCTAATCACAGTCGGGTGGGCGAACGGACAGCAAAACTACGCCCAGCCGGGCCGATCGTTGGTGCAGGACTAGCGGACAGGGTGGAGGACGTTTTAAAGGCTTCCAGTGTGACATCTTTCCTTTGACACTATCTATTTTTGACAGCTAATTCAAAATGGAATTCAGGCTGCTGGGGTTCGCGCTGCTGTCTTTCTGATTTGTAATGCTGGCCGGTCACAGTTATCGATGGCGCCTTCTGGGTAATCAGGTTGTTTACAACGATCGCCTTTGCTCATCGCACCTCTTTTGATTGGCCATTGTCCGCGCGCATCTATCTCTTAAACAAAGTTTGAATATTCTATTCAACCTATCCCAACTTTTGAAATGAACTTTGATCGCCCGCCTAGTGGCTTAACGATAATCACATCAAGGGCGTGAGCCTGTTTTTTGCATCAGTAAGTTTCTGCTCGGTCAAAAGCACTCAATCTGCGATTGTTGTCTTGCCTTTAGCGGGAATGTGAATAGCACCTTATTGATTGGAAGCAAAATGTTTTTAATGTTGTAGATGAGATTTCGGGATTGCTTGCTAATGGGAAGATGGGAGCTCGCTGCAATCCATTTTCAAGTCAAGTTGCAAAGTGAAAATCTTTACGGGAATAATTAAGGCTTATCTGAAAGGAATGTCAAAACTTTCCAAATGCCTTTTTTCAGCCTGATTGTTTCGTGTAAATACACCAACATGCTCACGACAGCGATGAGTCTATGCAGAAAAGTAATGAATATAAAACAGAGAGCAGCATTGATGTTTGACCCGTCTTAATGGGAGTGAAATCAACGCCCTTGTGACTGATATTGTCTTTCTCCAAGTAAATAAGCTGTTAAGTGATGTTAATCAAGTCATTTTCTAGAAGTATACGTGTTTTTGATGTTATATTACCATTTAGTAAATGAGTCTCATCCCAATAGAGAAATTATCTTTCCCATCCTCCGGTTGGCGTGCAGGGTCAGCGGATTACGTATGTTGCTCAAGGACACGTGGGCAGGCAGGCGGCGCTGCACCGGGGTTCAAAGTCAGGCTCGTCCACCCGGTGGGGGAGGCGTGGGGGGGGTGACCTTGGTTTTTAAAGTAGCCTCTGGATGTGCTGAGAGAATACCGAGACTTCCCTCGGCCACACTACCTGTAAGCGGTACCGACCTAAGAAATTGGTTGGTTAAGGTTATTAGCATTCACACTTCCATGCTGATGCTTGAGCTCGAGACATATGTGTGAAGACACCCGGGTACAGAAAAGGAAAGACACAGACACCGTTTGCTGACACGATGGAATTGCCGCTGGTGTCACGTGCATTCTCACATTGGTGTGTGTTTGTGCTTCCAGTTCACGTGAAAGCGGGAACCTGTGAGGTGATTGCCGCTCACCGATGCTGCAACAAGAACAAGATCGAAGAGAGATCCCAGACCGTCAAGTGCTCCTGCTTCCCCGGACAGGTGGCAGGAACAACGAGAGCGGCTCCGTCCTGTGTAGACGGTAGGTCAGGCTTCTCATTAGTTGTGGTAACGGTGTGGGACTAACTCCTGGGGAGGGTAGAACAGGAGGGACAAACGCTGTCGGAACCCGTCACAATGCTCCCGGGGCGTGTTGGTGGGAGAGAATCGCTGCACGCAACGAGACAAAAAAAGGACGTTGTGATCCGGCCGTCTTCTGGTTTTATAACCCTCACCAGTTCATCCATTTGCCCCCTTTGCCCTTGTTTGCAATACCGTATCAGACCTTGCGTTCAGCAGAGTAAACAGAAGGCCAGGTCATTTAATATCATGTCAAAGGTCTCCTCGCTTACAGGTGAATCGATCCCTACCTCCACTTTTCACCGTAACGGCTCCGACGGGGAGGGTTTCCTCAGATTTGACGCCTCTTATTTCTCTTCAGAAATGTCACAGGAAGCCGTCTCTGCCCCCCCCCCCCCCCCCGCCGGGCGAGGCCTCCCCTCGGAGCCACCGCTGACCTGCACGCGCAACCCTCTGCGGCGCGCTTTGTTACCCCGCCCACATACTAACACCCCCCACCACCCTTCCTCACGCTGGCTCCACAGTGACCCACTCCCTGTAATTCAGACAGCGGGGCGAGACTGACAGATCTCCACTATCTGTCAGTAATTAAAAGACGCGCTCTTCGATCCCTGTGATGTATATAGAGACCGAAAGAGCCCGGGCGGGGACGAGCTACACTTTGAAACAGCGTGTTCTCGATAGCTTCCTCCCTCCTTTTTGTAACGTTTTTGTTCTCTTCACAGCATCCATAGTTGCGCAGAAGTGGTGGTGCCAGATGCATCCCTGCATGGACGGGGAAGAGTGTAAAGTGCTGCCAGATCTCAAAGGGTGGAGCTGCAGTACAGGAAACAAAGTTAAGACAACCAAGGTGGGTCTCCTTCACAGAATTGGTACAATAATTCATAGTAATTTGTATTATTATGAGTGAATGTGTCCAACGATCACAGCTGAATAATGGAGGAGTGAAAAGATAAAAAGAACTAGAAATAAACAAGATAGCTGTATAGGAGATTTTTGTTTGGAAACGTATATGATGAATAATACCACAAAATAAGTTGGAATTGGATAAAATAAATCAAAAAAATGATCAATGATCAACGTTGTAGAAATCAAATGAGTTCATTGGCACAGATTTGAAAACATTGCCTCTTGGGAACAGAGACCCAGCTCACGTGTCTTCATCTCACCTTGTTAACTTTAAGCATGAAGGGTCAGAGTCGGGTGCCACCTTTGAACAGTCGGGCTTGTATGTCACATCACAAGTGCCAGCGAGCGGCAAAAACAAAGGCAAGGCAGGAGAAATACGAACAAATAACAAACTAAAATCCCCCCAGGAAGCCACATTGTTGAGTAGGATGTGCTGAGGCAGGACAGGAGGGCAGAAGCTGAAGGGTTCCCGAGATTAATAAAGGATATCCGGATGCGTGGTTTGGGTTTTAGGGTGTGAAGAACCTGAAGTGGGTGGAAGTGGGAGGGGGGGGGGAGGGGGGGGGAGGGAGGGGGCAGCGGGCCCTGAGCCATCCATCACATCCTAGTGTTTGACTCAACAAACGCCTGTAGTTGAGCCGCCTCTTCCATTATTCAGGAGGCATGGACGAAGGAGAGCTTTTTATTTTAGCCGGGTTAATAATTCATGGCCTCTCACACAGCCGCGGGAAAGCAGAAACAGAGGCGCAGACAAGCAGGGGTCCAGGTGGCTAGTAGAACCTTTACAACCTCCACTCCGTTTTTGATTTGGTAGTCAGCGGGGGGGAGGTGGGGGGGCGGGGGGGTCGCTCCATGCTCATGGGCCCCGCTGCCTCCTGCAGCAAGGGGCCGCCTGCGCACGCTGGAGGACGTCCGTACGCGGGCCTCCCGGTCGGCCGGCGTCGAAGCTTCAGCTCAGGCTGCGCTTCCTTTGAGAAAAGTAATGACCTACGAATCCTGCGTAGTGAGCGGTTTGGAATAGTAGATACAAATGTATTAAATATATCACCTTTTCTTCAAGTCGCAAGTTGAAGCAACAGCAGCGTCGCCCTTCAGCCCTTCAGCTAACGAGGGTCTCTTGAGCAGGTAGATGCTGCGCTGTGATAGGCCGGTCTGCGTTTCAGGGGCGTGACTTAGCAAAGGCTCAATTGTTAAAGCAAACCTCGAGCAATTTGCATTTCAATCTGTGGATGCATTGAGTTTAAAGGGTTGATGTGTGAACATTTTAAATGTAACTGTGGTCATTACTTTAAAAAAAAATTAAATTACCACATATATCTATGAAAAAAGTTGCTTTAATCCGATTCCCCTTTAAATGAGAAACTGATCATCACAGTAATCATACAATTATAATTTTTCAATGCTAAAAAGTGAATACATAATCCACACCCCAGCTGCAGTACGCGCCCATCGTAGAGTCCTAAAAATGATTTCCTCCGTAATGTCCGGCGGTGGCTTGCTTGATAAAGATTGATGATGTTCACCTCATGACGAAGTCACACCAATAAATCAGGAAACCCATCACCCCGCAAGCTCCCTTCCCGCACAGCTCACAAGTTGTTTGTTCGCTCTTTACGCGTCCACGAGCAGCTACTTTTATGTTCCTGCTGGTAACGTCAGGGATTATGACCCTGGAAGCTCCGGCTTTTTACTTCCTATCAATCAGAGATCAAGAGAAAGCACAGAATCGTCCCACTCGACAGGTGCTGCCGTGCTTGTTCGGGGTGCGTTGAGGGCTGGTGATGGATAGCTGTCTGACGGGGAAGAAACAGTGGAAACAAGCCTTGCATTTTCTAAAGCAATGGCCTCTGTGTACTTATTAGTATCTACACGGATTCAAGCCGCTCTGCTGCGCAATGCCGTCCAAACCGACCGGTAGGAGTCGCTAGTGCCGTGGCAGCGATCCCTCAATGGCTCCCCGTCCACTGACACTTCCACCTCCACGGAGTGCCAACAAATATCGCACAGGCCGTTGCTTGAAATAAATAAATGGGCAGAAATTCTCCTGCGTGAGAGACTTCTTTGCACTCTCAGTCTACCGACCAATGAGTTTAAGTTACTGGTTGCGAGAGTCTTTTTCTTTTCATTCTAGAGACGATTTTTGCGTTGTTTTGTTTGACCAACAATCTTCAAATCTAGAGTAACATTAAAAAACCATTTCACGGCCGACCAGTCAAGGGTGGTCCTTCACCCTGAAGCAGCTTGAGCATCAAACCCTGAGGATCTGCCCTCTGTTCTGCCCTTTGTGTGTTTACTCACAGTGACCATTCACAGCACCACGCCGCGCTAATTGCTTCGATAAGACTTCAGACGCTTCTCCCCGCTGTGATATGTATATATTGTTAATTGCGTGTCTTGTACTTCTCCCTTGTGAGGTGGAATTCCGTTTCAATGCAGCTCCTGCAATTAAAATCGTGTTCATATTTGTATGCCTCACTATATTTTCAAGAGAGTCTTTTATAATGAGAAAGTCATAAAGTTAGCAACACAACAATGTTATCGATATCGATTAATACAATACAATCTCAAAAAACATTCGCCTCTTAATGCATGAATGTTTGTCTACAAGACGGCTGCTGCAAACCCAACTCATCTCAACATGCTCTCTCACATCGGGTTCCCGAGGATTGTCTCATAAAAGTGAAAATTAAATTGTGGCTCCCAGAACAGCGAGACGCTGTGTCTTTGGCTGCAGCTCTTGGCATAAAAATCTGCCTTCCCACAAAACGTTAGAGTTGTATTGCTTGGATGAGTGATTGTGTGTAAACCCCTTGCTGGTTCAACTGGTGGGAACCAACTAACTGCTAATTGAATGACAGTTATGTGCATGTTTATTCATCTGTGTGTTGTGCGTTTGTGTGTCACAGTGCTTCTCACATCAGAGGGGCCACTGAAAAAAAGTTACTTGTGTTCTACTTTCAAAGGGCAAACCCACAAGAGTGTATATTTAGTGTTCTGCTTAAAGTGAGTGTGGTAAAAAAAACGGCTTCTTTCAATCCTTGAGATTAAAATTCATGAAAACGCCCGAGAAAAAAAATAGCGCCTGCAGTGTGTCGTCATGAATAAATATATTGCCTGTTTGCATATAAATCATTGAGCATTATGTTATTTGCATTACCGTACATCTGACTTCCAGCGGCCCATTTCTGCTTCGAAACGCCGCAGATGTTTGAATTATAACCACACGGGCTGAGAACTCACTCACCTTGAACCTGTCACACTTCTGACAGACTTTTTAAAGCCGGGCTGAAATGATCAATTATCGAATCAATGGACGAAAGACGATTAAGTGCTAACCTCTGAAAGCTATAATAAAGACAGTGCCACCATGCGAATGCTGAGCAGGTATTGTTCACTCTGTTTACCATCTTGGGTTATCTTGTTAACGCGCTAACAATGAGCTAATTAGAGAGTTGTAATTAAAGCCACTTCTGGCTTGTCCTCATTTTTTGGGATGTTTCAACTAATAGGCGCACTGAGTTTGATTATTCAGCTCCTCCCTCAGCAGCGTCTGTCACATTGCATGTCAGATATCTCTGTTTATTAGTCGCACTCCTCCTATTTGTCACCGTTAATGCGTCTCTTTTCATCCCGTTTTCAACGTCCTTGGTTTTCACTGACAATATATTCGCCTAATCCCTGCCGCTCTTTTTCTGTTGCTCTTTCTTCGCAGGTCACACGATAGTCCTCGGTTTCAAGGATCACCTTGTTTGAAACCAGACATTTGTTTCTTTGACCATGAGCGGGACGTTCGGATTTTACGTGTTCTGGAGGATTTGTGGAAACCAGCGACCGATCACGGACAGCTCGCCCAACGGACGGAGGAAACGGCCCAGGACCAGCGCATCATTTCCACAAGTGTTCCTGGCTTTTAGATCCAGCATCAAGCGTCGCTGTCTCTGAACTCTGCCCACCAGGTCGCTCTTTGTAACATAGTTTTATTCCTATGGACTAGAAGACTCAACCATGAAGATATTTATTGACTCAAAGACTATGTTTCACACCCCACCCTCCCCTCCAAAAAAAAGAAACGCCCCTTAAACAAAACCACGTGATGTGAAACTTTTGTGTTATTTTCTTGCCACAAAGAGCCCCGGGACTCATGATGCATATGTGTGTGAGATCATAAGCATTTTCATTCCTTTTAGCCTTACGGAGCAGAGCTGTCTCTTCTGATTCTGTTTTTTTTGTTGTTGATTTGAATCTAGTGTTTGGCTTTCTTAAGTTTGTTAAGATGTCGAGTCTTGTTTTTAAAGACTGAAAACGATGACGCGACAATGAGAACACAGAAAAAATGTAACGAAGGAAGCTCAACACAGCTAACGTCTGCCAAATTGTTTTAATGGTATCTGTTGTTTTCAAAGCCTGGTGACCACCATCGATTACAAATGTCAATATTATCTCAATAAATCTAACTCAAAGAATATCTGGGGTTTTTACGGTGTGTGTTAATGGCTTTTGTATGTGCCAGGTTAAAATGATGTGTGGGCTCGAGCTATTCAGACTTCAAATCAGCTTAGGAAAATAGTTTGACAAAAAAAAGAGAAGGGTTTTGTTGGAACTGAAAATGTGACATTCAGCAAATGTAGAAATTGGCCATGTTCAAAAACACAAGAGGAAAATCTAAACTCTGGTTCTAGGGAGGAGGGAGTGACAATTAGCTCTCACCCAAACACAACCCCTAATCCTATTTGATACATTTCCAAAACCAGATGTGGTCGTCATCCAAGCCTGCCTTTTGTTGTATTAAGTCAATTCTGCCCATCGCCGACCAATGATTGGTAGGCGGGTGACGATTTCCAGGCGGCCGTTGCCGTTTGAAACCCCCAAAAGGATTGTTAGCGCGTGTCATTAGAAGCTTAGAGAAAATAAACCATCCGTCTGGGCAGCAGGAGGCTCTGCAAAAAAAAAGGGACAATGGCCCGAGATCGGAGCACAATAGAAAATAATTATATCGCCCCCGAGTGGCCGCCCCGGCCATTGGGACCTGCGTGTACCATCGGCAAGTGAGACGCCCGTCCATCTATTTCTAACGTGTGTATACGGCATGATGTGGTTGCCGTCATTACCGGCATCAGCATGCAGCTCCATCCCTGTGCCTGCAGAAGCCAAGCGGGTTCCTCCGAGGAGAAAGATGCATTTATATTTTACCTGCATGCGTCTTTCCGGCCCCGGGGACAGAAACCATGGCATTCATATATATATGTATATGAGACGACGTGGAGTAGAGAGGGTGCGCCGGGAGGCGGTTCGAACCCCGGCTGCTCCATGTCCCATGTCGAAGTGTCCCTGAGCAAGACACCCGACCCCTAACTGCTACATATATCTCTCTATATATATAGATATGTGTATATATGTATATATAGTGTCTCAGACAGGGACGTCTCATCTGACGTTACAATAAGATACATTTCTTCTCATTTGTTCTCCTCAGCATCATCAGCAGACCATCTGTTTGGGGATCAGAGAAAACCCTGTAAAAGGTGGCTGGTACAAAGGAAAGCATATTCCAACACGATGAAGCGACAAAAGCTTGAACCAATTGTAAGGGTGTCTAGACCGAAAAACAAACCACTGCTCTAAAGGCACTTCCATAGTGCGTGAGTCAATTTCCCTCCGTAATTGAAAGAGTGCATTCATAGCAGAATGCTCCTTATTCTAAACTTAATTAATTAAGCGGGAATCTCGATGACTTGCTCCCAAAGATCAGACCCGAGGGACCAGCGCTGAAGGGGAAGCGTGTGTGGTGGGGAGGTGGTTGCTGCAATGGTTAACGAACCAGGTTGCCTCTTGTTTGGTTAGAAATCATTAAATTACAGTAATGACTAATTTCTCATTCCTGCATGCAATTCGCCTGAGACCACCAAGGATTTAATAAAGAACCGCCAATGAATTACAAACAGCAAGCGGCTGAGGAAAGGCTACGTGATTATACAGAGTAATTCAAAAGTGCATTAATAAAACAATACAGAAACATGGCTAAATCATTTGAGATAAAGGCCATTTGCATAATTCATTAAGATTAATCAGACCGGGCAATCCACCAAAGCGCTCCAAGGAACAGGGAGAGATGACACGGATCCACTCCCCTGGAAAAACCCTTTCTATCTGCAAACAATGATACAAATCTACCCTTGGATCAGAGAATTAACCTCTGTGCACTTTACAGCCTCTGCAGTGATGAAACACAATCCTTCAGTCCTTCACTTTTATGTCGGCTAATAATCTATTAATAATGAAAGATCCTTTCATACCGCAGCTCCTCGGGGATTTGTTGCTCTGCCATAAAAGACCTTCACAAAAGTTGAAGGGAAATGTACTCTTCGTGTTTGGAAACCACAGTGTGGATCTGACGGCTGGCCGTTTGACAATTTCGTGTGATGCTATTGACTTTGGCGTTTCATTCTCTGCAGTACAATGAGTCTGCCGCGGTGCCCGAGGGATGAGTTTGGTCACGGATCACATACTGTGGATGAGTCACCTGTTGTGTTGAGGAAGACCACCTGTAACCAATACAACCCCCCCCCCACCCCCGACCCCCCGTCCCTTCCCTTAAAAGTGACAATTGGTGGCAATTAAATTCACACTGATAACTAACTTATGCGTGTGTGCCTTACATGCATACACTGTCTTCTTTGAAATATGTTCACATGAAACAGGTTAAACTAAGTCAATGTTGATTTTTTTTTACGCATGTCCTTTGGGTAAAAGTTGAGTTCTTTTTTGGATTCAACCAAAAACCACCCCAACCTTTTGTCTCAATTCAAGCTGTTGTATTCTGTTCAGTAGAAAACGTGCCAATCCAAAGACAGTTTATGAGGCCGATAGTCCATCGCTTGCACATGCGAGCCGAGTTATCAGCTCATGGTTGTTTATTTGGCTTTTGTGGACTTTAAATAAGCTGTTAAGCTTGAAATGAATGTGCACTTTGTCCGCTCAGTCCCCAGCAAGTTTAGTTCCACTCATGGAAACTACAGATTCATTAAGTGATGATGTGTGATTCATTGTACTCACATATTTCTATAACTAAATATCAAACGTCGTCTCATCCAGAATAAAAACAGCATCGAAGGAACCAGAGATTACATTTAATTACATTTGACATGTTTTAAACCCCTCCAACAGCTTCCCGTCAGCTTAGCCCCCAAAAAGCTGTAAACGGGTAAAAAGCGAGACTGATCTGTCACCCAGCAAGCGCCACCTCTGAAGCTCACAAACACTTTATATTCGGATGCACTGGTTGCCAGGCAACCTCGCGGAGACGCAACGCGTTCTTACCCCACAACTTGTCACATGTTGAAGCATCGGCGTCACCTTCTGACACAGTGGGTAGCCCAGTGTGATCTCGATGAAAAAGTCTCGGTTGGCCTTAAAATAACCATGAAAACTAATTAAATAGTAAACCGTGAAATATGAACTCACGTCTCAAACATCGTTTATGTAACTCAACAATATTTGGGGATATGAACACCGGCCTCCTGGTTCCTGGTAGTTAAAATTGAACTGGCTGCCTCATGTTTACAGGTAACACATTAGTGAAATGTGTCTCCTCAGCTAACTAATGGGAGAAAGTAAGAAACTTTCCAAAATATCAAACTACTTTAGCAACCAATACTGTTTTAAACTTCTCCTCCTAACTGCTATCAATTGTATGCATCTTATTAACTTCCATGGTTTCATTGCAGGTTTCACAGGCTGAAATAGTATTAAAATACCATTTCTTAGTCTGGGAGTTGCACACATGTTTTTGGAAGTGGATGACCCAACTCACAAGTCCTATTTTTATATTTTAGGTTAATCCCTGAATTGTACATTTCCATTTTGTAGTTATTTTGTTTATTGAAAGATTTCTAAGGAACAAATGTATTCAAACTAACAGCCAGAGATCCTTTTAGCTTGACTAAATGAAACACAAGAGCAGTCAGAGCCGGTGTTCCTTCTCCCAACATCTAAATGCAGGAGGTCTATAAAATGTGCGTGTATAAAAACACGTTTTCTGTTACAAAAACACCATCTGATGGTTTTTCATGATCTTTCGACAGGATGAATTAGTTCGAAAAACTGTCGGGTACACCAAGCAGAATTTGATTTTCTCACAATTCACAATGAAGACTGACAGACTGTAATGAAAAACCCCTCGATCTTCAAACAGCCCAGATGAAGTGCAAAAGTCAGGCGGGGGAAACTTTCCCGCCTTTTAACAATCCGATTGCGTTCTCTCTTTTCAATATCTGCTGTATTTTTCGTCCCTAAATTGGATGTTCTAATTCAGTTTGGGTTGCGGTCTGATGTTATTTCTGACGGCTGTTTGTGGTATTCTTGTCTTCCGTAAGCAGTTTATTTTGTAGCGAGTTGTGCTTCCCTTTCGGCTTTCTGTGTGTGCGTATGCTTTGTGTGTGTGTGTGTGTGTGTGTGTGTACTGCTGGGACCTGAGGCATAATGGGATTATCCTGCTCAAGGCAAGACGCAGATGCCTTGAATTCTAATACCAAAGTATTCCTCGCTGTACCCGACACCTTCTCCTCTCTGCGTTTCTCATGCCCGACTGGACGGAGAGAGGCGATTAAGCACATGAATCACGGCGCCGCCTGCGAGCGGTTTCGGCGAGTCATTCGCACTTCCTGTCCAGGCCTCCTACTAAGTTTTGTTTCTTTCCTTTCCTTCCCTTTTCTATCTAACGGCGCCGGCGAGTGCATTTGCTCTCGAACCCTCATCAGAGACGCTCTCGGCTCCCACGTCGCGTTATCACGGAGCCCTCGGGGTCAGCGAGAAGGCCCGCTGTAATTTGAAAAGGAAATGAGCTTTTTTTTGTGTGGATCTTACTCAACAGACCAAAAGCAGGCGGAGGAGCAGAGAAGAAGAAGGCGAGAGGGCGAGAGGGCGAGAGGCTGTCTGTGGGCGAGGAGGAGAGAGAGAGAGAGGGGAGGGGGTGATGGAAAGGTGAAAACTACTGTACCTCCTCTGCAGGCAAACCCCGTGAACAGGTTAATGGGAGAGACGTTCGCAATGAGCCGATATCCATCTGGATGGGCGGAGAGGGGGGAGGCGGAGAAACGCGCCAAATGACATTCTGATGGATTTCCAACTGCCTTTTTTTCTCCCCGGCCCCATTTTGAGGAGCGGAACTGTGCCTTCTTTTTTTTAAATGTATTTACCTAGTTGCTTTGTAAATAGCATCCATTTGTTTACTAATGGTCAGGTTACGTTCCACCAGGAGCAGGACCTTCTACACCATGTATTTGCTGATTTTCTTTTTAAAGGCAGACGGGGGTCATGGGACCCTTTAAATGTCCCTCACTCCTCAGAGAATGCGTATTAATAACCGTTCCCCTCTTTGATGACCAAAATAAATGATCTTAACGCTGAGCATGCTAAATAAGATGTGATGCATTATAAGAAGGATTATAACTGCAAAAAGCCCAGGAC